GTGTGTGTGTGAGTGTGTGTGTGTGAGTGTATGTATGTATGTGCGCGCGCGCGTGTGTGTGTGTGTGTGTGTGTGTGTGTATGTATGTATGTATTCATACACATAATTTTGTTTTATCGGATTTTTGCTGTCACATGAATCCCAAAAGGTCCCCCAAACATCTCTATATCATCATAACTGCATTAACCTTTGGTATAATGTGGAAAAAATACATATATACGGTAAAAGAAACCTAGAAATATTTCCAAACAAAAAAGAAAACTAAAAGTTCTAAGCTTGAGTATTTCAAAAACAAATGTAGTAGCATTACCAGGGGCCATTCTAGAGACGTTCGACAGATATCAAAAACTTAAAAAATTATATATAGGCCACATCATTAAATTTGTCCCTTTGCTTTTAACGGAGGATTAGTTAAAATACAGTCGATCATAAGATATGCCTACCTTAAACGAGAGCTCTAAATTTTCACATCCCCATATCTGTAGGCCCGGATCATACCGTCCAACCCGCTCAAAGTGACGCTTTGAAACAGCAAAACAGCAGCCTAAATGTGTGGGAGATCTGGAGGAGGGAAAACAGGAAGATTAAAGAACATGAAACAAGCTTTAAAACGCACAATCCCAACGATAAAAGCAGTTTAGTTTTCATTTGTATACTTTCACAAACGTTCTTTCATTATTTCACGCAAATTTTATCCTGTTATCACACGGTTAGTCATGTTCTTAACGATAAAAATCAGACTACTCAGGTTACATACTATTAATTATTTATTCATAAAACGTTTGTTAAAATGTGATCGCGCAGCGTTCACCCTTGCTTTGTGGAAAACCACTGTGAGGTTCAATTCGTGTGATCCCACACGTAGATCTATAGCTTTTAAGGGCAGGTGCTGCTGAAAGTTCCATCTCTTTTGATTTCCCATATACATGAATACACATGTTTTGTGTTATCACTGTGTTCAATGTATTAATGGGAATCGGTTAGATATCTTGATGTGAACTGAGGACATTGAAAAAATCCTACGGCTTTTTCAGTTTTCAAGCAATTTCTTTGTTTTTTGGTAAGATCATCATCTACTACAAGACAAAACTTTTATGAACAGGATAACTATATGTACATATTTCTATTCACTTTGTTTGAGTAGCTTATTTTGTGTGCTGTATCGGAAAAACGGACTTATTTAAAGAGGGGGGATTATTTAAAAAAATTACACCCCCCCCCTCCTCAACTACAAAAATGTATAACGACTATGCTAACGTGACGTTGATAACATTTGCAATATGATTGTAAAGACATAAACAACATTTAAACCTTACTAAATGTGGTAACACAATAGTGTTTTCAGTAATAATATATTATGAATTTTTTAATGAGACAATCTACGTAAGTCGTAAAAATAGTGTGAAAGATAACTCAAAGACGTTTAAGAAGGATTACGACTATGGCAACCTACCTATTGTGGTTTGACCGTACAGTAATACAGGGCGATCCCAAAAAATAATAAAATAGACAGCCAACCAACAAACTTTACAATCGATTTTCTAAATATCTCACACAAAAATTATTTTGGAATGTTGTAATTTGGAACAGAGATAATTAATTTAAAAGGAATTTGTTTGACATAAAATCCACAAAGAAGAAAAATATTTTGAAAACGTAAATGGCTTAAGACAC